GTTAAAAAAACTTTATCAGTGCACCAGCTGCAACAGAGTACTTGTTTCATAAACTAATTTTTTGCTAGGGATGTTGCTTTCCAGCTTGTTTGATTCTGCAGCTGTTTGTCGTGTTCACAGGTGTATTGATACAGGTTAAACAATAAGTGCTGCACTGAATCAAGTGTGCGGCCCTTTCTGTCTTTGGTAGTACTTTGTGCTAGACCTTCAGGTGAAGGTTTGAATAAATTACCAATGCACGGTAGTCATGGTGGGAGAGACAAAGGAAGGGATGTTTTTGGCTGCTACACTGAAGCATGAGGGTTTACAGGTCTAATCTGTTGAATGTGGTGCTCATGGTTATTATTGGAAGCCTTGTACCTTTCTAATCCACCACAAGCGGAATTAGTTATGATACATACGAAAACCTGAAATTTCACAAATAGCTAAAGACATAAATGACTGGGTATATCACTATTAGCTTTATCAAAGCAGAGGGACATCATTTACTATGCTTGAGTACTCTTGTATCAGGCTACAGTGTGAGTTCGCCTTACTTCAGCTAAGCACGTTCTGTCTTGTGAACAGCATCAGAGGTCTTGAATGATTTGCTCAGTTCACGCACTGTTCTGCCACATATTGGTTTGAAAAACGTTAACTCATTTCGTGTTTCTGAGAGCAAAACGATTCACAAAGCATAAAGATGACAAGATCATGTTGTTGTGACTGAGAATAAAAACTGGATGCTGTTTTGGAGGAAGTGTATTTATTATTTCATTGTTAGACCTGGAGAGTTTGTTTAAAGCTTCTGATTTATTTCTTCTTAGGTCGAGTGCCCAGAGCTGTAGCATCTGTCAATCAGCACTTGTTGGCTTCTGACGATGTGATTAGCTGCTGCTTGGATTTAGGTGTGCCCAGCATTTCATTCCGCATTAATGGACAGCCTGTACAAGGAATGTTTGAGAATTTCAGTACAGAAGGGTTTTTCTTTCCTGTTGTAAGCTTATCAGCAGGCGTAAAGTAAGTACTACTTCTCTTCATTTTAATGTTGTTTTCTTTGCTTTTTTTGTTAAACAGAACATTGTCTGATTTTATGTACAACTTATTGTATGTATTCTGCTGTTTTGGTTCTGCCCAACCCTCAGGTGGGAGGCAGGAAGCAGGCAGACAAGTATTAATTTGTTTAGTGAGCACTTCATCTAAGGGTGAAATGTAAGCGCAGTGATTTGACCAAGTCACAGTGTCTGAAAATTACTATTTGATTTTCCCCTAGGTCCCCCTGGTGACCTAGGGGAAATTAATTTGGTCTCAATCCAATTATCAGTGACAAAAGTGTATGTCAGAAGCACAGCACCACATTGGTACTGATTAAAGTTCTCACTGGCAATCTCAGCAGGAAGTAAAAAACTCAATCATTGTGCAGACCGAATACCCTATTCGCAGTAGGGAACTTGAAGCAGTGATGAGAAGCAGTGTTGGAATCCTGTTACTAATGTTACCCATTCCTTACCTTTTTTTTTTAAGCTAAAAAGATAAAATTCGAACTTATTAATTGTCAGGGTTCTATTGTTATCTTACCTTTACTTTGTTCAGAAAATGTTTTGCAAACGTAACTCTACTGTAGCGGCCAAAATGTGTTAACGTATGTTAACATTAGACAGCCCACACAACAACAAAAGACTAGTTCTTCTGCTGTTGTCATTACATGACCAATTTCCATTCAGTTCACCTGCAGCATATTTATTGCTGATGTTGACTGGCAACACCTGTAGGATGGAAAAGACTTAAATATAAGGAGAATTGCTCAGCAAGAAAGGTTAGAATTTTTCTGTTTTTTTAGGCTGAGCATGATTTCTGTGTAAAATACAGACAAATTATGAAAATTTTTCACTAAGCTGAAATGCTAATGGTCTAAATTCCAATATCTGCCATAAATGTCCAAACTCAGAAGGAATAATCAGGAGAGAGGAGGGAGTTTGTGGTGAAGGAGGGAAAAAATTCAAAGGGCTGGCTGGCTTTTATTTAAAGGAGGGTTTTTCTTATAGCTCATGATCTTGCGTGATGGCTTCAGTATGGCCAGCATAGACAGAGAATATAGGTTTCATAAAGGAAAGAAGGATCACGTTATAAATGACTCGCACAACTAGTAATTAAGAAAAAAAAATGGTTTCTGTGGGATAAAGTAAATCTGAAAACGAACATCTATGGGCTTTTCTTTCTGAGATCGATACGTAAATATTTTGATCATCTAATGATTAAGAGAAACTCCCAGGTGAGAATAATAACAAAGACCAAATAGAATAAAGGAGACCTGCAAAGGGGCTAATAATTGATTAATTGTTATTTCTCTCTAGAAGTGAGCCTGATATGTAGCTGTATTAGTACAAGGCCTTTTGAAAATGTTAATTACTTTTTTTTTCTTAAGGAATCTGTCTCCACGGGTGTGATTATTTTTCTTCGCTCTTATTTGATGTTATTTGTGTATTTTGTGAGAACATCACCATTCCTTTTGGTTACTGCTAGGTGATTGCAATAGTAGATTATATGTTGTCTGCTGTGTCTGTTGATGCCAAAGAAATGTTATTACATTGGAACCCTGAGTTCAGCAGTGGAGGAGAGTATTCTGCACCGGGCCCAAACTCTTATGGTCCTACTGCTCGTGTGCCTTATCCGTTCTTCTGATTTTGTGGCCTCCCTTGACGTCCGATTCCTGGACTGCTTCATTGCTTCAGTGCCAATTTTTTTGCTCTGAATTCGTGTTAGCATCTGCTTACCCACACTGCTTTCATTCTGCTTTTAAGCATCAGTGTTTTCTCTCAATTTGCTCCTTTTCTCTCCATCTATCCATTTTTTTCTCCCTCTACAAATGGTGCTATTACTTCTGCCTGTTGTGCTACAACATGGCTATTCAAATAATCAGGGAATTTAAACAGCAACGCCGTATTGAGAATTAATTTTCCTCCCATGTATTCAGATTTTTTAATCTCTCTTTAAAGCTGTATGAAGGCAGAGATAGATAAATAAAATGTGAGACTAAGTAAAATCAGCCGTCCAACACATTTTTATAGTTGAACTATTTTTAAGAAACTGAAACATGAAAAATCAACATCTTAAAGGTAACTGCCTGGTACTTTTAGTTATTAAATACAGTCTGTTTCACAGACAGACTTTGTAGTAAGCAAAGGAAGAGCATTAACTATTTAATATAGTCTTGGCATTCAAGCTAGGAAAACTAAATATAATTGCTAGAGTGGTAGTCATAGCAAGAGTGCTTTTAATGAAAGTATGTGCAATGCAATTCAAAAATGAAGCAAAATTAGTAGTAATTAACCTAAACCAATAAGTTTACATATTTCTAAGTGTTTTCAGGAATTATATTGCTTTATATTTCATTTTCAGGAGGGTTGTTTCTAAAGTTCAGGTGAATTTAAAACATGTTTTTCAAAAGGAAAAAATCTGGACCTTTCCTCTAAAATGAGACAAAAACACGTAGCTTCTTTGAATATCAGGATTTAAAAACATGATGTGGAGGGCTAGAGAGCCTGCAGAATCAGGAGTGAGTAGCCTATATGGAGGCTTAAATACTGCAATAATGAGCAGAGAGAAAACTGTCAGGCTTCATTGAGTGCATGGGAGATTGGATGGTTTGCTGCAGCTGAGAAAAATGACCAAGCTGGCTGGAAGCAAGAAGGAGCTATTCACATGTGTGTAGCTGGCAAGGGAGGGGAATTGTATAAGTCTTTTCCATTCTGTCTTTTTTTTTTTTTTTTAACTTTTATCTATTTAGTAAGTTAGATAGACTTCTAGATCTAGTAAAATAAAAATCTCTTTTTTTTTTTTTTTAAACCTCAAAGCTGTAGCAGCCTTTGGTCCACTCAAACACTTAAAACATTATATTCATAAAATGAAATTAGAAAGTGTAAGCTTAAAAGAAAGAAATTAGTATTTTTATATTTCTTATGAAAATGGAACTATTTCAAATATATATGTCATCTGTGTATTTTTGCATTCTACTTGAGAAAACTTAGGCACCTCTTATATTTCAAGAGAGTAGAAAAAGTATTATTAAAGTCTTTTACTGTCAATGAAACTTGTTCTGATATTTCTAGAAGTGCAAGTAAAAAGTGTTTCTCTTGATCACCCCATCACAAGAAATGAATGGACTGTTTTCTAGAGATAACATTTGTATTTAGTTTCTTGCAACTATATACCTATATAGTTTGCTCAAAGGAAGATCAAAATATGAACCTGGATAGTTTTTCATGTGTTTTTTTTTTTTTTCTGATATATCCTTACATCTATATCAAAAATATATATCTTGGATTTTAAAGCTCATTAGTAGTTGCAGTATTCAGTATAATTTTGTTTGCTTGATTTCTGTGAGATGATGGTGCTTTTTGTCTCACCATATTCTGTTTCTAGGGTGTTGTGTGCCGTCTCATGTTCTCTTTTTTTGTGTGAGTGCACCAGAAAGTTATTTTCACAATTTGAAGTGGTATATAAATAGTCCCTATGGGATTTTTAGAATATCAGTCCAAGTGAAACTTGTTTTGTGTTTCTAAATCACTTAAATGCATTAAAAATGACTCAGTTTACAGCCATTTGATATTAAATAAGAAATACATTTTTGAAAGTAGACTGTTGTGTTGAATAATTATTTTTGTTTTGACTAAAATAATTTTTCAAAAAAATAGTTGGTAGATGATTATGTTACTAATTAATAGTATCTGCTAACATTAATGCTTGGTAACTTTTAGGTGCTTATTAAAGCATGAAACATACCATTATTTTTATAGATGCTCTTCAAATAAATATAGAAGTTAACTGATTGACTGTTTACCATGCTAGTATAGGCTGACTATGGGAGAATGTATTTTTTTCATTGTAAATTGCACAGAGTTCGTTTCCTCCTGGGTGGACGTCATGGAGAGTTTAAATTTCTGCCTCCTGCTGGCTATGCTCCTTGTTATGAAGCTTTGCTTCCAAAAGAGAAGATGAAACTGGAACCAGTGAAAGAATATAAGAGAGATTCTGATGGAGTGAGGGATTTGCTGGGTACAACACAGTTCCTGTCCCAAGCTTCCTTTATCCCTTGTCCGATCGACACCAGTCAGGTATTTTATGTACACAGTTATGGGATTGTAAAATATGCCCTAACAAAATTTAAACTGGCAACAAAAAAACTAAGCTAGTTTTCCATCTTTCTTAGCGATACGTCATTTATGTGTTGTGCTGTATTTAACTGACCTGGGTTATCTTTGGATCTATGAGAGATGGCAACTGCGGAATCTTTTCTCATTCGTGGAATTGTTATGCTCTTTTCTTAGATTGCTCTTCCTTTTCATCTCGAAAAGATCAGGGACAAACTAGCTGAAAATATCCATGAACTGTGGGGAATGAATAAAATTGAACTGGGCTGGACATATGGCAAGGTGAGTTTTGAATTACCTGATTGGGAGCAGGCACCAGGTTAAGCCCCCTGTTAGAAAACCTGGACTTGGAAGTTTAAGGGAGTTTTTAATGGTGGCCTATAAACATCTGATAGAAAATAAATTTCTAAGAGATGGTTTTTTAAGCCAACAGGAGAGAGTAATGTTTATCTAGTGATTATAAGACAAATTTGGTATATAAATAAGGCACTTATTTTAGCACCATGGGTAATTAACTATTAAAAATGTTCTTTACTGAGAAACTTCCTAATTAGACCAAACTGAAATTCTACTGAAATTCATACTGATATTTGTGTGATTATTCACTATCTGTTTGGTTACTGTGGATCAGGTAGGTGCCAAGGGAAAAGTTCCGCATGGGAACTTCCTGCTGTTTGTAACCAAGGCTGGGTTTGATAACTTTTGTAACAGTAACTTTAAAGTTCTTCAAAGCTCTTTATTGATTTAAAAATAGCTACAGTTGCAACTTGTCCTTGCAGTGATCCCTTATGATGTGGGAGAATCTAACAACTTGAAGAGAGTAAGGCCATTTAATCAGCATTTTTAAATGCATACGACAAGGCATTCCCTGTCCAATGGGTCTTACAAAATAAGAAACAGTTAAAAAATAGGTGGAGTCTATTATATTCAGGCAACAACTATGCTAGAATTAGTAACTTTCCTTAGCAGTGTGAGCTTCTACAGGTTATGTTCTGCCTTGAAGTTAGGGGGTTTCACCTTACTACTTTTCAAGTTCGGTTTTACTGGGACAAGGCCACTCCATCACCACTGCATCCTGTGCATCCTTCAGAAGAAACTCTTTTTCCTTTTCTTATCCTCTGCGGTTTTTAGTTATGGATTTATTTCACTCCTTTTTTCTCAATAGGAGTTCTGTCTTACTATATACTAAAGTGTCACTGCTGTTGACATTCTGAGCTTTAACATTATTATTATTTTTGAACTTTGACAATTTTCATGAGTGTGAAGTGTCTAGACTCTTAACTGCCACCAAGCTAGAAACAGAATCACAGAATGGCCAAGGTTGGGAGGGACCTCTGGAGACCACCTAGTCCAACCCCCCTGCTCAAGCAGGGGCCTCTAGAGCATATTGCCCAGGATCGCATCCGGACGGGTTTTGAATATCTCCAGCGAAGGAGACTCCACTACCTCTCTGGGCAACCTGTGCCAGTGCTCCGTCACCCTCACAGGAAAGAAGTTTTTCCTCAGGTTTAGGTGGAACTTCCTGTGTTTCAGTTTGTGCCTGTTGCCTCTTGTCCTGTCACTGGGCACCACGGAGAAGAGACTGGCCTCATCCTCTTGACACCTTTCCTTCAGATAACTTTACACACATTGACATTGAGTGAAACAACAACCAGGCGTTACATGAAAGAGCTTATTAAATTAAGCTTCAGCTTCTCATGACATCAGAGAAAGAATATGCTGCATTATTGTTTCAGTGGTATATGGAAAACGTTACCAAATGATCCTTTAAGGAATCAGAATGTGTGCAACAGAGCAGATTATACAGACTTTCTCCAGCTGTAACTCAGGCATTCAGTAGAAACGTTCATTGGATTTTCAGGCTTGCTTTGTGTTTTGTGTATTTATGCAAAACATGCCAAATACCCAGAATTTTATTGTATTTTGATGGTTATGGGGGAGTACTTATAGTGTATAGTATAAATGAGTCATAGGAAGGTTCATTTGCATTAGTTATTCAATAATGAATAACTATCACTGAGCAAAGCTAAATGGTATTGTTCACAGTATCTTTACTAGGGCAAAGATTTAAACATTTTTTGCTCTGTTGATACTGGTCTGATTCTGGCGTCAGGAAAATATTCTCTCCTCTTAATTTGTTACAGATACGAGATGATAATAAAAGGCATCATCCTTGTCTTGTGGAATTCTCAAAACTACCTGAAACAGAGAAGAACTATAATCTACAAATGTCAACAGAAACCCTAAAGTGAGTTTTAAATGTGAAAGAAAAGAGTTTTTTTTTTTTTTATTTTTCATTGCAAAGCTTTATACTGCTGTAAGATTTAAAAGCATGACAGTCAGTTAGAATATCTGATTCAAAGTGTGTTCTGCTAGCTTTGCTGGAAGTTCCAGGGATGCATTTAGAGAGATTTGGAGAAATCTGTGTCTACAGAGATACAAATAAGGAGACAATACCAAATCCTATTGGCTTTACTCAAACTGGAATAATTTTCAAAACCCCAATTTGTACATTTTTTACCCTTTGAAGGGATTTTTTTTAATAAGTTAAAATGCCTGGGTTTTGAGATTCCGTTATTTTGAATATAAATGTCATTGGTATATTTGTAACGAAAACAAAAAAAAACGGGGGAAAAAAGGTGGATAAGCACTACAACAGCTTATCTTATTACTACCATTTTTCTGTGTTAATAGAACCCTTTTGGCCCTTGGATGTCACATTGTCCATGGTAATCCAGCAGCCGAGGAAGATCTTAAAAAAGTTAAACTTCCTAAAAAGTATGTACCTTATGATTATTGTATATAGTTTGTAAGTATAAAGTATTAATGAAATAAAAATATTGTAAATTTATTTTAAAAAATACTCACAATGAACCCCATATGAATGCTGATGCAATGAACCCCATATGGTTGGTCTGTTCCCTTGCCTGTGATGATTGCTGACTACTAATACTGATGTGTTGCATCTCCTCGTGGAGTGACTCATGCAGATATGACTGTGTGTAGCTTAAATGTTACGTGATCTTAGAGCAGATATTACAAAATTAGCAGTATTTCAGTGCTTTTCTATCACATAGCAAAATAAAGTAGTTATATGACAGTAAACCAATCTACTTAGAAGAGTGTTTACCTTTTCTCCATAACTTTTATTTTCAATTTATTCCTCTCCTTCACTTCCATCCATTACAAATGTTTGTTCCACATATAGATGTTGCCAAAGACATTATTAATGTTTTTATTTAAGCATCCTATGCCTCATGAAAAAATGCAAGAAAAAAAAATCTAGCAAATTACAGTTGTTAAAATGGTGTACATCTCTAGGAAATGTGCATGGGGTAGACTTGCATAAAATATCTTCTCTCTGTTTTGGTTTTTTTTACTTCAATTTTTATTTGGTAGCTGAACTGTGGCAGTTGGGGAGCTGAAACAGTAGAATGTTGGTTTTTTTTTGTTTAGAGACCCTGAAGGAATCAGTAGGACCCCAAAACTGGTGAAGATGAATCAAAGATCACATCCCTCTAGTCTTGTCTGTGGGGGTTCTGTAGTGCTCCTGGGGCAGGTTTAAGTGCTGACCTTTAATGAAATTTCGAGACAGTAACAGTGAATCAGATTCTTCCCATATCCCATCAGTTTATCATCTCACAAGATGTCTGCTTTCTTGAAGCAGCTTTATCCGTGAGAAACAGAGTTAGGATTTTAGAGGGAGTAAAATAGTGGTAACATAAATACCTTTATGGTATGGAAGATGGTAAACTTGATCCATTTGATGACACTGATTTAAAAAGGGCAAAAAGAACCTTTCCCAAGGTTTCATACTACAAGTAGTAAATAATATTTAAACTAGTTTTTAAACTTCTCATTCATTGGAAAAGTGGGAAAAGCAATGTTTAAAGTAAGTTTTGGTTAATTTTATTGGAATGAATGATAACATGTAATCTTTACAGGCTGCTGTATCAAAGTTTATAAATTTTAAAATACAGTTATATCCTATACTTAAAAAAAATATATTGATAGGTCATCACACAGATCTTTAAAATAGAAATATATCTAAAAGCAAATGTTAAAGTGTACCCATTTAATAAAATATTATTTTCATAACAGCTATTTAGGGACCCACATACAAATCTGAATTCCATTTAGTTAGACAGTGTGCAACTAGGTGGAGGACGAGACTCTCTGCTCTGTACAGTTTATGTCCCTGTCAGTAACCAAACACAGTGTGGATTTTCACAAAGGTATGGAGAGCAGGAGAATGAAATGGGGGGGGAGAAAGTGAATGCCACCTTATGAATGCCACACAGAAAATTTTAAATATCGTTATTGGGATATCTTGACTCTCTCTGTTGTCCTTTGTTGACTTACAGTTACGTGATGTCAAATGGATATAAACCTGCCCCTCTTGATCTTTCTGAAGTGAAATTGTTACCTTCTCAAGAATTTCTAGTTGATAAACTAGCAGAAAACGCACATAATGTCTGGGCAAAAGACAGAATAAAACAAGGATGGACCTATGGCATTCAGCAGGTAGGGACTGTTTTTAGAGAAATTTGGGATAAGGGAAGAATGTGAGATTTTGTTTTCTGGAGCATTAGTTGGGAATGTCACATAATAGAATAAATGCTAGAGGACATGGAAACTCTGGAAAACTTGGCACAGGAAGAGTAGGGTAGAAAGCCTTAATCACGCAAGTTTGAGTAGGCTTGCAGCTGCCATATTAGTAACTGAGACAGATTCTTTTTCCTTCTAAACTAATATGCTAGTAGCATATTAATTAGTTTTCTGTGAGGATATATTGCCATGCTCCTCTCTAATTCTTTCCAAGTCTTCAGGTTTTTAATATCATTAACAATTGGGTTTAACGTACATAACTGACTTTGCATTCATAAAACTGTCGTTTACCAATATCATGTCTTCCCTGTAATAACTTTTAGCATTGTTTCAGCCTTCACTCTGTTTCATTATATATATCTCTTCGTGAAATTTAAGCACAATTTTCTTTTTGTTTTTTCTTGCCACTTCTTTTAGGATCTTAAAAACAAACGTAATCCTCGGTTAGTGCCATATGCATTATTAGATGAACGTACTAAAAAATCAAACAGAGATAGCCTGCGTGAAGCTGTTAGGACATTTGCAGGCTATGGCTATAGTATTGAGCCACCAGACCAAGAAATAGGTATGTACGCTAAACCAAAATCATGGCTGTTTTTTTTACAATGCTGGGAAAATGTTAAAACACTGAAATAGGTGAGGAAAACATATTAGATATTAACTAAAGCTAGTGTGTTTTTTGTAGTGGACTTGAATGAAGGGTGCGAATGACTTATATATCGCTTAGATTGAAAAGATTTATTGTAGTTGATGATTTGATAATTATAATTTCTTTGACTTTTAGATTGGAGAAAATCTGTAGTGTGGATGAATGTATTAGTTTTCATTTGGAAATCACTGTTTAAAGTGTTCTGATGTTAGAGGGATCTACCTGAGGCAATTCATGCCTTTCTTGAATCTTTGAGGTATATGAAATGCTTGAAATACATGTACGTTTATTTTTTTCAAACGCTTTCTTAGTTTTAGGTACTCAGGTATGTCACGTTACAGTTCTTGTTCTTCAAGACTGCATTTGTAAGCTGCCAGGGATAATTCATTAACAGTTCTAATGTAATGAAGATTCTGGCTAAAAAAAATCATCATTAAAGGATATTTACCTTAAGTAAATATGCTACATGTATTGGTTTTCTTATTATTATTAGTAAGAAATAGAAACAGTTTGAAGCCAATTTTCCCTCAAGTTTTCCAATAATCAGTTTTTCCCCTTCCACAGCATGTGTTTTTTAATATGGAGGGAGAGAAGAACTTTAAAAAATATCCCAGGACTCTCAGGTACTTGTAATATTTAATGAAAGAAGAAAGTAAAGAGCGTGAGTCCAACTTAAAAAAATTTTTTTGAACCTTTTGCAGATTATATTTGACAATTTCTTAAGAGCTCAATCCTGCACCAAGTTGAATAAGAGGTTTTTTTTCCCTGTTGAATTCAGAAGCAGAAATTGGTTTAGCAATTTTTCTTCATATTTGCTATACCACTGTAATTTCTTGACAAAAAGCAAAACTTTTGTAGTTTTTAAAATGTTCTGAATTTAGTGAACTGTAATTTTTTTTTGTATTGTTTTACCAAATTATTGCATTGGATTGTATTCCATGTAGTAATCTTAAACTTCTGAGATCTCCTGTTCTATTCAGTTTTGTGTTTGGGGCTCTGCGCTGAGTGATAGATTTTGTAATCTGTTGATTGTAAACAGTGGATAACCGCTCATCTGATTATAGAATGTGGAAGCCTCTGAATACTGATTACTGCTCCTCCGTTTCTAACATTTACTACAAAGGTTTTTGGGGCCTGTGTTCAAAATATTGGTTCAAAAACCAAACAGTAGGAATAATTTTTCGATGCAGCAATGTTCTGTCATTGAAATAAGAGAAAAAATCGAGTGTGTTTCAAATCCTATTTTATAAATACAGTGGAAAATATAGTATTGTTCTTAAACTCGTAATGGTAGGTAGTGGCTGTTTTCAAAATCAGAAAACAGTAGCAACAGGTGAAAAGGCAGAGAGTGTCATTTCTAGTCTTCTCTAATTAAAAAACATTTTTTTCCTCTGTTTGTATTTACAGCTGACCAGACCATGGAAAAAGTCAGCATTGACAAGATTCGTTTTTTCAGAGTAGAGAAGTCTTATGCAGTGAAGTCCGGAAAGTGGTATTTTGAATTTGAAGCTGTGACAGGTGGAGATATGCGTGTTGGCTGGGCCAGGCCAGGATGTCGACCTGATGTAGAATTGGGAGCAGATGACCAAGCATTTGTTTTTGAAGGAAGCAAAGTCAGTACCCTTTTATCATTTTTTGAACTATTTTTGTGTATAAATAGACTAGAAGGAGAACTATAGTACAGGTTCCCTCTATATCCTTCAAATCAACTATTGGAATGTTTTTGATTCACAAAAAAAGCATCTCTGAGCTCTATTTCATGCTGCATAGTATCTGCATTTCAGTTCTGGGCATTGTAATTATGCTAACAAAGGTGGATTGTTTTAGGTCCTTCTTCCTGGGATATACCAAACCGAGAAAAGAAGTCTCTTGTAAACAGGAACAAAATTCAGAATTTTTTTCCTTTTTTATAAATGGTGAGTCACAAAAAAAAAAAAAGTTTGTTCAGTGACTGGAAGAGAGAGCCACAAATTTGTTTTCCTTTTTTCTCTCTATTCTGCCTTCTGCACGTGCTTTCTTCCCAAGCTTGACTCCTAAAGGACAGGAAGGATGACAGTGACACTGCATATAAGAATTGGAGTCCAGAGAACATCGATTATCATCCAGATTCCAAATTGCTATTTGCATATTACGGAATTCAGGGTGATTTAGTTTTAGGGTGATACTAATTAAATTGTCATACCTCAAAGCCATGTTGTAAATTGGTTTGAGATCCTGGACGGAAAAGATGTAAGAAAAGCAAAGAATTAAGTTTAGATTCTTGTTATTACTTAACTGAGTCATTTAGACCAAAACATTTGCTACACTGTTTATTTTCTTATTTAGAATTTTATACCTGATACTTTTATCTGTCTGTACGATATTCCTAGTCTCAGCTGATTAGTACCTTCTTCAATTTTTATCTCTAGAGCTTTAAGTCTTTCTTGTCTGAAAATACGTATGTTGTATATTTAAATTTTAGCATGGTGTTTATTTATTTGATTGATATATATACATACATATTTTGTTTGTTTGTTTAGGGACAGCGCTGGCATCAAGGCAGTGGATTTTTTGGACGAAGTTGGCAACCAGGAGATGTGGTTGGTTGCATGATAAACTTGGATGACAAATCAATTATCTTTACTCTGAATGGAGAATTGCTTATAACAAGTAAAGGTTCAGAACTTGCATTCGCTGACTTTGGAATAGAAAGTGGTAATTGAATACTGTTTACAATTATGCAGTTGTCGGGGTGGGGGGAGAAAACCTAATCTGTCCTACTGGCTTAGTGAAATGAGAAATCAGAATAGTGCTGTTGCTGATTTTATTTCAAGTTAATTCTTGGTCCTCCTTGCACATTTGCTTTGAACTCATTTAACCCTAACACTAAGGCATATCATCCTACGAGTTTTGTAATTGGAGCAATGATAAAATTTACCATGATGTTGCATGCTGTCCATCTGCACTGTTTTCAGATGATTCTGCTGAAAAGCTTAAATGTAATCCATATGCCTTTTCGAATTAAGAATGGTTGTTAGCTAATAAATGAAATGAATCTATCATTTGCATTTACTCACAGCTGCAAAATAATTGATTCTTTTATTGTTAATCAAGTATATTAAACAAATGCTTATTCCTCTCAACAGTAGTTATTACAGCGATACGCAAAGGCTTTCCTTTCGTCCACTTAAAAATGAAACATTCTAAATAGTCTTGACATCTTCAGTGATTTTTTTTTCTTTAACCTGCCTCTTCAAATTCTTTTTTATTTTCCAGTTTATGGAAAGTTCCTTTGGGAACTTCTAGCTTCCTGTTTTTATCATTGGTGGTTACAAGTCTAACAAGTTTTGATTCTCAGTTTCCCAAGCTGCTAGTTTATTCCTCTCTGCTATCTCTGTCAGTGCCTTTAAGTCATATTTCACCGATGTAACCCTTCAGACTGTGCTACACATTAACCTCATAAAAATGTATTGTAAAAGGGGTCATTTGACACTTTTTTTAATCCTGTAATAGTAATTAATGAGAGTTTGGCAATCAGAATGGGTTAATTTTTGTGCAGCTTGCTAGGCTCACTCAGAGAACTGAACTTCAATGGTAACAAGAAGTAGTTATAATAAGAACCTTGAAAAATCCCCAAACATGGAAAATGTAGTCCCTTATTTTCTTATTGGAGCATACACATTTAATATAAATTATATTATCCTCTGTGGAGGACAAAATGAATACTATAGGATGAGAAATCTTTGCAACATGAGTGTAGATCTGAGTCTAGTTTATGATTTTTTTCCTTCTGTCCTATTGATAGCTTACCTGCACTGCTATTTCTGGATTCTGCTTTCTCTTCTGTTTTTTTTTTTTTTTTTTTCCACTTCTGCCTTCTTGGACAGCAGTTTCGACATGAATATGTTGAAGGAGATAGGGAATATTTTCAAACTATACTGTTCTACTTTTTTAATTGAAATTTTCTTTGGAGATTTATCTCCTCCAGCTGGTGGTAGCTTCATGCTTGTTAGTAATTACCAGAAAATTTTGCAATTACCCACTGTGCATCTTTGGTCTGATGACTAGTACAATTTTCCTGATGGTAGAGAAAGAGGGACTGCCTTGAGAGCTTTTCTTAAGGCTCAAGATTGAAGTGTAGGATAGGAATTCTCTGCTGTATGGATGAAATTGTTGGCTTTCCCCAGAAGTTACCCCAAGTTCTGTTTCAGAAGGGGTGGAGAAGTCATTCTACATTTTCATCTCTGTAGGCATTGGCTGCGACAGGTACATGGAGAATGAAAATGCTCAGTCATTAAAAAATGCCCACATTAAGAAAGTTTCAGTTTGTCGATCAAGAAGGATGGAGGATGGCAACACGTTTATAGATATTGATGACAAAAGAAATTTTTTAACAAATATAGAGATATCTCAACCTCATCTAAAAGTCCTACTGAAACTTTAATGCTCACATTACATACGTTCATACATAACTTCATTGTCTAGCCAAGTTTGTCTTCCAGTGTCCAATTCATTGTATAAAGTCATGTTTATTAGTCTAAAAAGATAGAGAAAATAATTGATCTTTCTAATAAATGAGTATCCGACACTTGCCAATCTTAGTTTTTCAAATCTGATAGTCCACAAAGCTACTGCTCAACTTGACTTTTTTTTGTTCATCTTTCATGGAAATTGGAGCATGCCAATAACAATTCAACTGGTTTAATGTTTAAATAAATGGAATAGTGTGTGCAATGTTAATTCATTGCCTAAGCCCTCAGGGTTTTCAGTAGCAATTATATCCAATTTAGCCGTTAATATTTAAGGTGGCTTTAAATACTCGCTACTGTCATTATTTCATGTACGTTCCCTGTAGTACCTGAAGTTTAGCTCACATTGGATGGATCCAAAATAAAATGTTTGTGTTCTCCAAATAAATTATTGGTTTTTCTTTTGGTCTTATCGCTTTCTTAGGTTTTGTTCCAATTTGTGCACTGGGTCTATCTCAGATTGGCCGCATGAACCTTGGAATGGATGCCAGTACGTTCAAGTATTATACAATGTGCGGCCTTCAAGAAGGTTTTGAACCTTTTGCTGTCAACATGAACAGAGATGTCGCTATGTGGTTTAGTAAACGCTTACCGACATTTGTCAATGTGCCAAAAAATCATCCTCACATCGAGGTAACGTTACATGTTAAAGAGACACTTGTTTATCAACAGTTTGTTTAGGCAAGCTGAGATGTTAAAGCCTTACTAATACCTCATGTCATCAGATAGTTTGTCATTTAAGTCTATTAAGTCACCCTTAGTTAATTCCAGATCATCTTGTCTATCTCCAACTTCATTTATGGTCATCTTGTTACCCTGTATGGAAATACTTAACTGTTCTATGTATTGTTAATTTATGTTGCTGCACTGTGGTTAGCTATGTGGACCATGTCAGTTGTGATATCTTAGAATCATTTTTTTTATGTTACGCTTTCTTTCTCTTTTTAAGTTCTTCTCTACTATACGTATTTCTTAAATATCAGGTCAGAATGAATGAGTATTTGTTGAAAATAAGCTAATTCTTGCTCAGCTGAAGTCAGCCATCACTTAAGATAATAGAAATGTGAGATGAGCAGAGACTGAGTCTAGTTTACTTTGGTAATCTCAGGGACATTTAAGTATGCCTGCGATGTAACTGAGACAGATGTTTCATTTGTTCTTATAACCCATCAGTGATATGAATTCTACAACTCCCTGGCTAATCTGTTAGCTAGGGAGCATATTCTAGAGCAGAATATCGTACGTTTTGCATAAAATACTCCTTGTTAATATATTTCACAACTGTATTTTCTCATTTGAGTTCCAATTCCTAGTCAGCTTTTTACTATACTTCCTAGGCCATTTACTATAATTCAGGTCTTTAGCCAGCTACTCCTTAATATTTGTCTTCCTACGTTTCCTTCCTATACAAAAAACACTTACTTTACAGAATTCCATCTCAATGATCTCAGCAATTTTTTTTTTTCAGTTTATCAGGATATTTTCAACTTTATTCTTATCTTTACACAGTTTTTGAAATGTCGCTGTCACTGCTTTAGTTTAAAAGCATACTCACTTTTTCAGCACCAAGAAAAGTGCTGAATAATATCAGACTCGGATTTCAGAAGGATCTTCTGAAGCATTCTGCTTGATGTTTCTTCTGACTGTGTCAAAAAACTATTGATTTCTTGGGAGCAATTTTTCAATGACTTATGCACTCAAAATTTAGTCATTTATTTTAATAACATCTGTATTTTTGTTTCTGAAAATGCTGCACTGAAGAACTTTAAAAGATTTACTGTAGTCAGGATATTGAATCTATTGCTTCTCTCACTACTGATGCTAGTTTTCCTATCAGAGAAGAAAATTGCATAGTTTCGAAATTAATTCATTTTGACAAATTTAAGTTAGTTCCTTCTTGCATTTATCCTCTAGTTGCTCACTAAAAGTTTTCAGCATTTTTCTCGGAATAGTATTTTACAGTTATTTCTATCATTTTTAGATATGGAGAATCGATGGAACTATTGAGAGTCCACCTCGGTTAAAAGTTACTCACAAAACATTTGGCACACAGAACAGCAATTCAGATATGATATATTGCCGTTTGAGTATGCCTGTCGAGTTCCGTTCATCGTTCAGCTTTGGCATTGGTGTGGAAAATGCCTCATCTGATGCTTTCCAAAAACGGTTAGATTTGTGTTTAATTAAATTATTTCCCAATCTGAGTTCAGAATGTTCTATTATTCTTTATTGGTCTACATTCAAGATCTCGTATCTGTTTTCTGGGCTAAGAACATGTTAGTATAGGATACGTATTTCTTAAATTTTTTTTTATTCATCATGCTTTAAATAAGTTTGTAACAGAACTTCACTGCAGACTGCTATTTCCTAACAGGATGAGAGAATCTGTTTGGAAGAGATGGATCAAAAGAGTTCTAGTTATTCATTGCTAAGCATCTGCATTCATTTTGAAATCAGTGGTATTTACAAGGCTCTTCAGCCTATTTGAAAAACCAGCACTGAATCTTTTACCTACTGGATTAATACTCCTCCATACTACCATTCAATATCTGATAGGTATTGGAAAAGTAACTAATCTGTGAAAATATAAAAAAAAAAAAAAAAAAAAAAACCAAATGTGGGACAGCTTTTTAAAGATACTAGAGGAGTTCAGCACCTTGGAGCATTACCTTTACCTTTGGTTAGCTATGGTAAATCTACCATACTACTCCTCCTACCTCCCCACCCTAACTGCAGTCAACTCCCGTAGGTCTGTTTTTCTACCCTGATGTTTACTGGAAAACTTTTGTATATTTAATTTACTCATATCACAAGTACTTGATGCCCAGCAAATACTAGTTTGTTTGTAAGTACACTTATTTTAATAATGAGGACTTTTTTTTCTTACTAATTTACTAATATTTTCTTTTGTTTAGAAAACAAAGCCAAGAAATTGCTGTTCCTTCTACCACAGTAAGTAAATACGTTTAAATGCTTAGTTTTTGTTACTTTTTGAAATAGGTTTAGTCTTGACACCCTGTTCATTAGAAGCTGATCTGTTAAAGAAGCCTTTTAACCATTTACTAGTAACACTGTGTGTAAATAACAGTGCTCAGAGTTGTGTGACTTGCTGCATAAATCTCGCTATCTCAATCTATGGATAAATACCAAAATTGAAAATGACTTGTTTTTTATTTTATTTTTTTTATTTGTTTGATGAGCGTTGATGTTAGAGTGTTTTACAAGACTTATGAAGTGAATGTGAAATACTATTATTAAAGTTTTATATGTATGGAGCATTTTTCTACTACTGTTCCTTCATAAAATTTTTTCATAAACTAATTCAGATTTCTTTTCCTAATATATTCTTTTGCTCTTTTCAGTACTTTTATTCACTGCGGATATTTGCTGGCCAAGACCCATCCTCTGTCTGGGTTGGCTGGGTAACACCGGACTATCATTTTTACAGTGAGAATTTTGACCTAAATAAAAATTGCACAGTGACAGTCACTTTAGGTGATGAGAGAGGCAGGGTTCATGAAAGGTATGAATTTATTTATCACTTACTAAATTTTATATTTTAATATTGTTTTTGGAACTGAATTATTCACAAGGTTTATGACATTTTAATAATTTAAACATATTAAAAATTGATTATGGGATGGGGCTGTTTACTATTCATTTATATATGAATATCTTGTTAAAGTCAACAAGTCTGTTGTATGTGTTCTGTATGAAAGGAAGGTTTGTGATGCTTCCTTATTTGGCATCTTTATTTGGTCACTGTGGATGAATCTATGATCTTTTTTAATGTATCTCACATATGCACGCAAAAGCATGTGAAATTCTTTCATAGTTATAAAATAAGGGAAAAAAAAATTAATAGTGGGCTCTGTCAGTCAGATCCCTTGCCCATGGTACTTTTTTAAAAGTTTCTTTTTTAACAAGAAAACAATCAAAAGCAACAAAAGCACCATTAAGAATCTCTTGTTACTCCATTGAAAAGTATGTCTTCATTGAGTACTTCATCATGTGCGGTATGACTTTTGTTTTTTCTTCATTGTTCATGCTGTTTTTCTTTCAGTGTGAAGCGCAGTAACTGCTATATGGTTTGGGGAGGAGACATAATTGCTAGCTCTCAGAGATCAGGTCGCAGTAATGTTGACCTGGAGGTCGGATGCTTTGTTGATCTGGCTACTGGAATGTTGTCGTTCACGGCCAATGGAAAAGAGCTTGGCACTTGTTACCAGGTATTACCAGATTTTTAAGAAGCCATCCTGTAAGCTGATTGCATTGGTGCTATTATAAAGATTGTTTTGTTTTCCAGAAATCTAACCAAAAATTAGTCTTGTGATAATAAGATGTTATTGTACAGTGTTCTGTCACTCTTTTCTCCCCCTCTCTCTTCTCCTCTCTCTCTCATATATAAAGCTTCATTTTTCCATCTTCTTACAGTAGTATCAAACATTGTTGAAGTACTGTTGCTAGATATCAACCAGAAAAAAAACTTTTACCCTGCAACTGTTATGATTCAGAATGTTACTTTGTAGCACTTATTTTTAGGAATATCTTTTGTGAACTAATTCATCTGTAATACACCATAGAGAGAATAGTTATTTAAATTAAAAAGGTTGAAACTAAGACTTTAGACACTGTAAAATTCAGTCTACATTGAGCAAATAAACTTAATTTATTTTTTCCAGGTTTTGTTTTTGCTGCAGGTAACTGTGATGTGGAGATCTTATGAATAGGTAGAGTTCAGACCTCAGAATTCAAATGCGTATTAACCTGCAAAGCAAAAATAAAGAGGATGGGCCCTAAACGTTATTAACATTCTCAAAATGTGGAGCTGTTATGCAAACAGTTCACTAATCATGACTGCTTTTTTCATTACCAAATTGATAAGATTTGCTTTTGATAAGATTAGTTATCCATACTAGAACATCCAATGTAGAAGAGTTAGTGTTAGTAATGATGCATTTTTTTCTCCTATATAAACAAAACCCCCAAATCTGCAAAATAGATAAAACTTAAATGTTTATTAAAATGATTTTTTATTATTAAACTAAATTTAATAGAACTTTGAATACAGACTTGATGAAAATGAATGAAGCAAGGCTGGACACAACCTATAAATGGGGATGGAAATGGCATAGGCAGCTGTGATTTTGGTGTATTGTAAAATATCACAGTGATTAGAGACTTCGGTAGCATGCTTGGAGAATATTAACTATCAACACTATGGGAACATAAAATAGGAGATGAAGGGGTTTAAGCCCCATGCTTTGCTGGTTTTGTAGCTAGATGCAGATAAATATGACAGCTGAACTAAATTTCTGAACAAAATCATGGAAATTCTTTTCATGGAACAACCTTTACCTGTTCTGCAGTTTTGCAAAGAACCCCTATGAAAATACATAAGCAGAATCTGCCTGTTATGCTGCACTACCTCATATAGTTTTCACTTTTTCATTTCCTGAACATTTTTACTGTAGCATAAAAGCTTTAAAATACTTCAGTGTCTAATCTGTCATGGCAGTTGAGGCAAATGACTGATATTTGCCTGGTCTAGAGGCAGTAAAATTGTGACTCTACTTTATAACCGTTTATGCTTTTCAGTCATCTCAAGTGGAGTGGACAGACTGTGTATGTACGTGGGAATCTCAAGGCCTAGGAGTCAAAATGTTGAAGAGAAAGCATGAATTTTACTGTGGTTCTTGAGATATCTATTGAATGCTGTGATAATATTTGCAAAAAAAATTGTCTGTAATAGAAGAACAAATGAAAGTATATACATATATATTTGAGTTTTTATAATTAATAGTCAGACCAATGTTAAAATATTCAGAGCAGAAATGAGATCTTAAATGTTGGTTTACGAAGACAGTTTATTTTATTCCATGTTAGTAATGGCCTTCTGACCTTCAAACAAGATTAGAAATTACAGAATCAATTATTTTTGCTAGGAAATATCTATCTTTGTTCAGTGGCTGAGAGTTTCATTGTCTCAGTCAGTTTCGTCTAACATACCTGATTTTCAGGCTTTAATGAAATGAAAAAGATGTTTATTGCTAGTGTCTTTCAAAGCAGGATACCTCTTATTTCTACTTGTTTGTTTATTTTCCTTATCAAAAAGATCAGAAGGTACATACCTGTACGTTATTTTGTCTGTCTCAATGCTCATGATTCTGAAATAACTTCCCCCCCACACCTTTTTCAGTATATAGTATTTTACACGTTGCTTAAAGTATATTGTATTTAAGGGCTGTTTTCTCATATAAAATAGTACAGATTCTTTTTGTGACTCTCAAAACATTCTCTATGTTGTTTTGCAATTTTTGATAGTTTGCAACACTCAAAGTTATGAACTGTACTACTTCACAGCATGAACATGCTAATTGTACTTGTATAAAGTAGGTGCACAGTAAGCAAAATACACAGTGATATAATGAAAATATGTAATTGCACTCTTTAAGTCTTGGGTTGATTGTATAGGCTATACCTTTTTAAGCCACACTAGAGCACTGAAAGCTTTAGCCCAAACTATAATTATAAATTATATTTTATTAAAAAACAGAATTAATTAAAAAAGATAATTATAGTTTATAGGGCAGAGGGTGATCTTGTGGGGAATTCTTGAAATTAAACTGGTACAACTACTCTTTGCAATCTCATTTCTCTTCTAGGTTGAACCGAACACAAAGCTTTTTCCAGCAACTTTTGTACAGCCTACAAGCACAAACTTGGTTCAGTTTGAACTTGGTAAATTAAAGGTATTAAATATTTTCCATAAATGTGCTCTTTTAAATCTATTAATTTCCACAGAAATGCCTGCTGAGTTGAATTTGTTTAGATTGAATCTGTGGAGTGACTTTTTGTTTGACATGTTAATTTTGTAAATGTAATTATTATACTAAGTTAGTGTGTACAAGGAATTACAAGTAAGTACAACAAAACTAAATTGGCTTTGGCAAAATAAACTAATGATGTTATGGGAGAATGCTCTTCATTTATTTTTAATCAAATGTGTTTATTGCAATAACTTATGTATTTCTATAATCTCTTTGTTATCACTTAAAAATACTATATTTTGGTTTTATAAGTTTAGGATTTGTAGTTAGGTGTTGCAAAAATAACTTTAACGTACTTATTTGTTTCAGAATACTATGCCTTTATCAGCAGCAATTTTTAAAAGTGAAGAGAGAAATCCTGTTCCTCAGTGTCCCCCTCGCCTTGATGTGCAAACAATTACCCCTGTTTTATGGAGCAGAATGCCAAACACCTTTCTGAAAGTAGAAACCGAGCATGTCAGTGAACGTCACGGCTGGGTTGTGCAGTGTTTGGAGCCTCTGCAAATGATGGCACTTCATATCCCAGAGGAAAACAGGTTCGTCTGGAAGGAACTATCGTGGCTTGCTTGCGGAGGAAACGTACTGAAGGAGATAGTTAATGTTTGTGTGTTAGTTAAACCTGTCTTGGAGGATATTGACACTTGAACTGTTCAGAATTTCTGTTCTTATCTGCTGTGATACTGTGTGTGTGAAATTTAAGTAGATGTAAGAGGCTGATGCCATTTAATTACATCCGTGTGCATGAGATAAAGCAATCTTTATGACTATTTGATATTCTTTTAATTAGGAGGTATTAGCTCTTAAATCACTAGGTCTTTAAACACACAGCTTTTTTCAGCTTGGATAACCAAAAAAACCCCATGCAAATACTATTTGTTGATTTTTTTTTTTTTTTTTTTTATGTACTAAATGCTTTCTAGTTTCATCTGCCTTGAATTTACATCAATTAAACCTTTATGTTCTTACTAAAAAAATCCTGACTTTCTTAGGTTTTCAGATTGCATTAAACATTTGTTTTATCTCTGGAGTGATTATGATAAATGTGTATCCAAACACCAAAAGTTGTAAACAGTGACAAATTAAGCTATAAGCAAAAGTGTAGAAGAAAACTGATTTAAAAGGTATACTTTTATCAGTTATTTTGCAATGTGTTTTGACAATTTAGTAACTAATATTATTCAACATAAATAAAAGTGAATCCAAGGAAAGAGGGGGGAAAAAAATCCTATCTGTGGAAAAAGAAAAAAAAGAAACAGTAATCCCCAATAGGCTGTGAAGACTGTTTTATGACAGTATTACTGTGGGATTTCAGCATTCCAAATACATTCCTTTTAAAAATAAAGCTGTAATTTGCCATAGCTTCCAGAGATACTTTGTTATCTTACCTTTTTCCTTCAGTTTGCTATGGACTGCTAATTATAAATAATCTCATCAATTTATAAAGACATCGCCAGTAGTTAGTGTGGTTTGAGGATGCGGGCATTAAGATTAGTCAGTACCAATCATGATATTAATGGTTCAAAGCAGAACTGACTAAAGTGTGCAGATAAAAACCTTTTCTTTTAGGAAATTATTATTCATTCATTTGACTGCTGTTCTGTTTCTTTATTTTGTAACAGATGCGTTGATATTTTGGAACTGTGTGAACAGGAAGATTTGATGAAGTTTCACTACCACACTTTAAAACTGTATAGCTCAGTTTGTGCTCTAGGAAACACTAGAGTGGCTTATGCTCTTTGTAGCCATGTGGACATATCTCAGTTATTTTACACGATAGATAATCGATATTTACCTGGACTCCTACGTTCCGGCTTCTATGATTTACTCATTAGTATTCATCTGGAACACGCCAAGCAAGCCAAGCTCATGATGAACAATGAATTTATCATTCCAGTTACAGAGGAAACTCGAACTATTAAATTATATCCTGATGAAACAAAGAAGCATGGTTTACCTGGAGTAGGACTTAGCACTTGCCTGAAACCAAGCTTTAATTTTTCTACTCCTTGCTTTATTGTGACCAGTGAAGAACGTAAGATATCGAGCCCAGAGATACCACTTGATATACTCAAATCCAAGGCCATAAGCATGCTCACAGAGGCAGTACAATGTAGTGGTGCTCATATACGAGACCCTGTTGGAGGACAGGTTGCATTCCAGTTTGTTCCTGTTCTTAAACTGATAGCAACCTTGCTCATAATGGGTGTTTTTGATGACGATGATGTGAAGCAGGTGTTACTCCTCATTGATCCTAATGTATTTGGAGATCACAAGGAAGATTTAGATGAGAGGACAGAGAAGGAAGAAGTTACACAAGTTGAAGAAAAAGCTGTAGAAGCTGGGGAGAAAGCAATAAAAGAAACAAAAGCTCCTGTAAAGGGCTTATTGCAGACAAGATTACCAGAATCTGTTAAGCTTCAGGTAATCATCTTAACCTAAATTTATTATATATGCTATACGACTGATGAAAGAAAGGTTGTGCTTTGTCTGTTTTTCAGTTCCTAGAGATCTGAAATCAAGATCTTTATTCCAGTTTGCCTTGTGACCTGGCATAAATAACCTAATTCGATGATGATGCAATGTCTGCACAGTTTCTTCCTACTCAAAATAGATATACTAACACTGATTTCATAGGTCTATTTTGAAAGAGAATTAATATTTCTATGAGTTTTGAGAGTGTGGAGTGAAGACTGTGTAAATGCAGTATAGTATTCCTGATCATCATCATGAAGCTGTATAAATTTGTCAGCTTTGCATCATTAAAAAAAAAATAGGAAGAGAAAAAACTTCTCTCATTTTTACAATCTATTGCAATGTATCGTGTCCTCTGTATTTTTTCCCAATTACAATTTAAGATGTAGATTCTAAGATAAACTGTTTAACTTGCATCTGTTTTTCTCTGCTAGATGTGCTATTTACTCAATTATTTCTGTGACTGTGAGCTACAACACAGGGTGGAGGCAATTGTATCATTTGCAGACCGTTATGTATCAAAGCTGCAATATAATCAGAAATACAGGTACAATGAACTCATGCAAGCCTTAAACATGTCTGCTGCTTTGACTGCCAAGAAGACCAAAGAATTTCGTTCTCCTCCCCAAGAACAGGTAATATTAAACAACTGGCTGAAGCTAAAGATAAAAAAAAGACATTCTTAATCATGATCAAAGAATTCTGACTTCTAAACTAGCTTTGCAGCTGCTGGAGAACCGAAATGGAATTTGAAATTAAATTTATTAAGATGCCACAAAGTACTCAGTATCTGAATGTTCATACTTGCACTCCAAAATTAAGCTGTAGATCAAAGTTGGCTTAGATTTTTCTGAAGCATATAGAAAAATTGAATGTTACTGTCCAGGGCCGAGGAGCAGAGACTGGGCCAGTTCTTCAAAAAGAAGATAATTTGATAGTTTTAGTTGCTATGTGGTATTGGCATCTGTGCTGGAAATACTTAGTCTTTATCACCTCCAAAAATAGCTTTACTGTTAAGGATATCTGTATTTTTATATCATTCATAATTAAAACTTGAAAAAGATCATTGCTTTAGTATCACCATAAAGCTGTATTAGAAATCTGTACTGTATACTAATTTGATAATAAACTTTAACAGGTAAAATACTGCTATAGTAATATATTAGGAAGTGTTCAAGCTTACTTCAAGGTCTTAAGTATGTTGTGTTTTTTTTTTTCTTCCCTTAAAGATTAATATGTTGTTGAATTTTCAACTGGGAGAGGATTGCCCTTGTCCAGAGGAGATTCGGGATGAGCTATATGACTTTCATGATGATCTTTTAGTTCACTGTGGTGAGTGGCAAGCTTTTACTTTCTTTCTGCTTTCCATTAAAGAAAAAATCAGATCCATTAAAAAATACTAATTTGGGGGAGGCAGGAGGAGGGTTAGCTGTATTATTATCTATACAGTGAATTTCCTGTACATACTTTTAGTGTGCATTACCAAAAACATGGGAAATATGTCATGGTAGACAGAATTTACAGGAAAGTATTTAACAGATACATAGCAATGAAATCTTTGTATTGATTTGAGACTTAAAAATCATCCAGACAAGAAGACTGGATTGCCTTAAAAGACTTATTATGCATGCTGTATACAAAAAGAGATAAAGGGATTGTATTGAAAGAACATTATTGCTGCGAAATGAAGCAGTAGAAAATTTAAGAAAAAGAACACTAGATGAGGGGTCATGATGCTACCTTAACTTAGTTTTTGTTTTACTTTGTTTTAGCTTTATGTGGCTTAAAGAAACGCCTCTTATTTGCGAAGCCAAAATTATTTGCTAGCCTATTCAAGTCTTAGTCTTATCAGGGAGATCATGGAATTATTAGTCCAGTTACAGTAATACTAACATTTATACTCCAAATTATCCAGTTATTAACACTCATTCCCAATTTTGAAACAGTTGAAACTGATATGCACAAACTTTCTTGTATCTACCTCTTTGGCATTACTTCAAGTGCCTTTCCGGGTCTGGTGGTTGATGGCACCCATCTTGTTCAAGAAAAAGGAGCCAGGGTCAGTAGAGTGAAATGTCAGCATCTCAAAGTCTTCACTAAGACGACTGTGACAGCATTAACAATTTGTTCTTCCTCCTCACTGTATCTACTTGAGGTCACTTTCAAATGCTTATTAATATTATCTGCAAGTTCTTTCTTCACTGCTTACCCCTAAAGCTGGTTATATCCAGTTCATGTAATTGCATTCTGTTAGTGACCAATAATTAACAATCCGTGGTCTCTGTTTATAACCATGGTGCTTCTCATAGCATTCCGTATTTGTACTGTTAAGGCTTCTGCTATCATCTTGTGCCTGTATTTTGGAGTACCACATTAAAATCTCCAGCAGCCTTCAAGCTGAGATTTCATGATGAGCGAAGTACCATTTTTCAATTAGCTTAGCACAAAATAAGTGTTTTTTTAGCCTAAAATAGATGGTTCTTGGGCTGTGTCAACTTATTTATGAGGCTATTGTGCGAGACAGTATCAAAAGTATTTAGAATCAAGATTTGTATCTGTATAGGTAGCTACATTATAGATGGAAAATAGGCTGGTTTGATGTGATTTGTTCTTGACAAATCTGTGTTGAATGTTACTCATCCTTTCTTTTAAATGCTTACCAAAAACTTTGTTTCTTTTATTCCAGTATTTTTGCTAAAATGAATAGTCAGCATTCTTCCAGCTACTCTTTTGTTCTTGTTTTTGTATAGATACTGTAATTTGCCTTATGCACTCACTTAGCCCTTGATCAGACCTCTGGATTTTCCAATATAATGCCTATTTGTCATCAGAGAGTTCTTTAAGGACCCCAGGATGAAGATTATGGGACCCAAACTTATTTGGAAATGTCTGACTGTTACAGATTTTTTATTTTAGCTTGAAATCTTACTACTGGTATTAATTGAGTTAGCTCAGCTCATGATCATGCTTCACCTTTTCATGAGGTGAAGCCCTATTGTTTGGGGTGGATTTGGGTTTTTTATGGGTGTACTTTTGTTACTGTTTTCTACATTATGTATATGTTGAATGAGATAGCGAATTGAAGGGAGAGAAAGCATGGTTGCAGGATGAAAATAGTTTAATGATCCTCTGGATTCTAAACAAAATCTTGTCTATCACTTTGTACAGATTTATCATAGGTGGTCACTGTAGATAAGTTCTCCTCATTTTCTGTCCTGACTTGGTCCTGAAAATCGCAGCTGCAGATAAAATGAATAGGAGTTGTGCTATGAATATTTAAAGAGCTTTTTAATACTAAGTACACTTTGAGGGCCAAGTGGAAAAATATGAATGCAATCAAGTAATTAAAGGCTGCATCTTAATGAATACACACAAGTAGTCTGAATTAGGTTGCTCAGGAAGCCTTAATCCTAGTGTGTCCTAACTGTGAGTGGTTAATTTTGCAAGCTAAATAATGTTCTTCTACCATAATTTTTATGTGTAATTTCTTAGTTAAAAACAAAAACAAACAAACTGAAAATAGATTTTATTGCATAACATCAAACTGATACTTATCTGGTTCCTCTGCTGGGTTGGAACCGTCTGTACCGGTGCACAGACCTCCACCACTTGAATTAGTTCATTACCAAGTAGCAAAACAATATGATCAGCTTTGGAATGGACCACTTCTCTAGGAGGACAGAGTTTGAGCAATGTAGTCTATGGTCTGAAGCAGTGTCTATCCATTTCAGCTTCTCAGAGTTCTCAGTGTGGTTGCTTTCGTGCCAGCGTGTTTCTTTTCCTTCCAGGCCCTAGCTTACATTTTTCAAGTTTTACACCCTAGAACTGGTTTTCTTGCCAGATAGTTCCTTGCTTTCCTTTGACATCCTTGCCTGATTTCTGTCTCCTCTCCTTGTTGGCCTATGCTTCCTCTTTTCATTCCTTCCTGACTGTGACTTTAGTCTTAACTTCATTCTCAGCTCTTCATTTTGCCCAGCCAGTCTCACTTCGCACTCTTTTCTCTTTCCTCAAATTCCTTATCCAGTCTTGCATTTCAATTTCTAGTTTCTCTCATTCTCTCCCACTACCTCTGAATTTTGTCTTCCAAGTCACTCACTCAGTTACTTCTAGTCACAACTTTAACTCCTTCCTCCTGGTAGCTGCCAATATCAGACAACTTCTAAGCTGATACTTCATTTCAGCTCATTCTTTCTTGCTTACTTTATGCAATATCAGTTATAACCTCTGCATTTTATTTTTTCCCCCTGTTCTAGCTTTTTTGTCCTTAGTATTCTATTTGGAAATCTCCTTTCCTTAGTTTTAGGAATCACGCTCTGGTAATCAAACAGCAGGAAGCTGGTTACATTTTGGCTATGCCCAATTAGCTCTGGTCTGAGGGAAACCTGCTTAGATATTCTGTGGTCTGCCTATAACACACGCAGCATCTGATCACCACTAAAAGATGTGAAAGATCTGAAAAAGCTTTGAAAGGTTACGAAGCGATGTATGGAACTGTAGTGAACTCGTTGTCAAACGACAGCCCTTCAGGTATACCTTATCTTAGGAATTTTTCATGAAAAGCTTTCATCACCGGTGTGACATCTCTGACAATCTGCCTTCTTACAGTTTTAAATTCCTTTAGTTATGTTTGTTTGGGAATTATGAATATCTCCACTGAACAATTGCACTGTAAGATTCAGCCGTTCTTTCTTTCTTTAGCTTACATTCTACAATATGAAATAATAATTATTTATTAAAATCATTAATAATGAATCACCTACTTAATCAAATATGACTATTAGTCATAATTAATGACCATAGTGTCTTCTAAAAATACCACTTCTTTGTTTGTAATACTGAAAAAATAGCACTATTATCTGGATGTAAGAAATATGTGTACTGAAATGAAGGTAACTATCTGAGCTAATATAATAAGTAATATAGCTAACATTTTTGAAAGCTGCTGGCTTCCACGTTTGTTTTTTTCTCTATGAAATTTGCTCGTTACAAAACTATCCAAAAAATATTTTTGTAATGTTTAAATATTGAAGCAGTTCATCTTCAAAGGTTAGAGTTTATTTCTAATTAGTTTTATTATCTGTTAAGGTATTCCACTAGAAGAGGAGGAAGAGGAAGAGGAAGATTCCTCATTGACTGGCAAACTCCGTTCATTAATATACAAAATCAAGGGTCCACCAAAAGCAGAAAAAGTAGAACCTAGGGAGGAGGAAGAACAATCTCCTAGTAAGTTTTCTTCCTACATACCTACTTCTGTGATGCAAATGTTATGAATTTTACAATTACAACAGTTTATTTTCTAAGAAAGCTTCACAGTGAACTGGAGGAGACTGCATATTTAAGTTCCTTTTGCCTTTTGGAAAATTATCCTATGTAGTGAATGTCTGACATGCATTGTTAAACGAGGGGTTAAAACAAAATGTGCAGAAGAGCTTTGATCAGGGTTGTTAAATCTGAAAAAATACTTGTGTCACACTAATAATCCAGACTCAAGCTTTCTAAGCTTGACCTGTTTCTTTTTGCTTTTCAAAAAAAAAAAGAAAAAAACTTTCTTCACTCTGCTGCATGAGAAGCTATATGGTTCTCAATATCAAGACATAGGTGACAAAATGATTGTTCTTCAGTTCTTGGCTTTTATATAAAAAGTAATTACTTTCACTATGCAAAACTTTCTTTTCAATTTTTATCGTTATGGGTAAGATTCTTTTATGTCTCAAAAACACATGGTATAGAATTTGCAGCATTCTATGAAGAAAGAGCTGCAGTAATACCAGTCTGTTACTCTGTTGGGGACTTTGTCGTAACTGAGATAGCATTGAAATAGTTGTTAAAATGAGAACTGGAAGATTGAAGTTGCAGAGGTCTTGTAGCCAGCTTAACTTGGGGCATTGTGATTTTGTTAGTAGCTGCTGAAGACTCATGTTACTCAAAAAGGAGATATTTTTGAGCTGGCCAACAAGTTAAGTTCTGCTGTTCTGCATCATTTGTGGTTTCATGGAAGAGTTATGGTGATAAATCAGTTATGTCAAAAAAACTTCCTGGTGGGCATAAATAAGTGGACCATAAGTGTCACTTACCCTATGGAACCTAAGTTCCATAATATCAAACTCTCTTGTAGATTCTTGTGCTCTGCATCACTGTGCGCTGCACCTCTGCCTCTGATGCTTCTTCTTTCAAAACTCAGCATAAGGTCTCTGTGCTCTTATTTTGAGTTCTTTCACTTTTATGTATTTTTGTATTAAGTAATATATTAAAGTACATAATTATAATATTGTCTTATTATAATTGCTGATTTTAGTAGAATTACGGGATTTTTTTGGTCAAATGTATTTTGTTTGTGCTAAATATGTTTTTTGGGGCTGTTTTTTAATCTTTGCCCTTACATGTAATTTCATGCACAGTTACTAGTTTTCAGCTATAGAAATGAGGGGATTTTGAGTGCAAAACTAAATGTAGTTGTTTAGATATCTAAATAAGTAGTACTAAGTGACTAAGGAGAGGATAATAATATTAGGAGAATTTTAGTAGATTTGGTATTTGAGTGGATTGTCTTGGATAAAATATGAGCAACCATAGATCTGTTTCTGTGGCATTTACATATGCATAGTCTTATTGAGGTCAGTGAATTTTCCACACATGTTATATGTGAAGATATTGCATATAACTAGGCCTTAAATAATTGTATTAGATAATGCAGAATAAATAATTTTACCAGATGATGATGAATTCATAAATTAACTAAAACAAAACTTGCTCTGATGTATCTCAAGCATCAGATATATATATGTTGATATATCCATAATATATTCTTTCTGTACTGAAAGAAATATTCAAGATGTTTGACTGCTTAAGCAGAAAATCTCTCTTCTTCCATGAGTACAAAATCTGTATTCATACATAGCTTGAGGTGAAAGAATTTTCCAGCATTTAATATTGCAGATTTTTTATTCTGCTCTTTGCTTCTTTAAATCTTAAACATGGGCCTCTAAAATCCAATGCTAGAGCAAAATACTGTTTAGATATGATTAGTTTGTCTGAAAACTCTTCTCTATAGCTGATAAATCTTATTGCCCTTTTCAGTGACCTTTCATGTTGCTTATAATATATATGAGAAGAACTGACACCATTTAACAGAAAAATTATTTAATGTTCCTTTCTGCAGCAGAATATTGTAGAGGAGGAGGAGTGGGCTATCCCTGTGGGTTTGCTGAGTAGTATTAAGCTATGACATATCCTTCGTAGGAAATGGAAATAGTTAACTCAAATGCTTGAAAGGTCTGCACATATATATTTTGAAACTAATGCGATAAGAGACAATCTCATCCACAAAACTAGCAATTATATACGTGAAAGAATCCATATTACATCACTAAAAACAGTCCTTCTGTCCAGCACTGTTTAGCAGCCATACCAGATTACTGTGAGTAACTTTTGAAGCAGTATCAGTAACTAGAATTAAGTGTGTTAGTTTAGTGGTGTGGAACAGTATGAACCAATACATGGCCTTTATTAAGAGAAAGGTAGCAAAATCAAGACAATGAACTTCATGATATGTCTGTAAAGCCTTTTAGGTATGGACTTGAGCATATGCTTGTCGTCTCATCCAAACTGTTCGGAGTCAAGTTCCCAGCCAGCTGGGCTTTGATGCATGCCATAGCGTAGAGGAAGACTTCCGTGCTGTTTTTTAGCACGGGTGCCTGTGAATCCTTATTCTCAGTGTAGATTGTCAAGGTGCAACAGAGAGGTGTTTGCACATTCCAGTACTCTGTTTTCAGATATGTAATGCCCTGTGGCAGTAGTTGGCATCAAGCAAATGGGTTGATAAGCTTTCTTCTTAAAAAGACCTGACATTGGGTGTTACAAGGTACCATAGGGGTTGGTTAGACTTGATTCTTTCAACTTCTGAACATGATACATTTCCTTCTTTTTTATTGTTTTTATTGTTTTTTACAATTTATATTTGTTTATCATACGGTCCAGTAGAAATACAGAAAAAAAAATTGTGGTTTGTCTAGACAGAATAAGACTGAGTTGGCATAACTTTAATCTGTGTAAGGTAAGATATCTGTTAGAAGTACTACCTCTTGCTTTTGTCCTTGTCCCTAGCAGACGTGTTCAGAAAGCTTCCTTAGTCAGAAACATTTTTAATTTTAGACACGGAGCACAGAGACTTTAAGCTCTGTCCACAAATCTGTCAAACACTCTACTGTCAACAAAACTTTTAGAGACAGTGTGGACCATGGCAGAGAGATTCCTTCAATCTGTTATCTGAAAACTGTGAAATCGTAGAATAATTCTAATTGGAAGGGGTCTTAGTCTCTGGACCAACATCCTCTTCAAAGTAGAGTCAGCTCTGAGAGCAGGCCAGATAACTCAGGGCTCCATCCAGTCACGTCTTGAAAACTTCCAAGAATGGTGATGACACAACTACCTGGGCAGCCTGTTGCACTGCCTAACTGGCCTCATGGTGAAAAAGTTTTTATGTCTATTTTAAAGTCAAGATCTCTTTTGCTTCAATTTATGTCTGTTGTCTTTTCTCCTCCCACCATGCACCAGTGTGAGGAGCCAGTTCCAGCTTTTCAGTGACCCTCCTCACAGGCACTGGCAGGCTGCTCTTAGGACCTCCCCCCAAATCATCTCTCCTCCAGGCTGGACAAGCTCAGCTCCCTCACGGAGCAAGTGCTCCAGCTCCCAACCGTCTTGGTGGCCCTCCATTGAACTTGCTTCAGCATCTTCCCTGTATTGTGAGACCTGAAAACCTAATGCAATATTCTAGATGTAGTCCAAAAAGTGACAAATAAGTTCACTGCTCTGTCAGCTCTTTCAGCACCCTCTGATGCAGCCGTTTGGTCCCATTGATTTGTACCGGTCCAGATCTCTCAAGTAATCCTCATCCACAGCTCTTAGTTCTTGAATCCTAGCTGTAAGCACAGGAGCATGGGAGGCCTTGTTGATGAAGACTCAGCCAAAGAACGCACTGAATACATCAGTCTTATCTGTGCACACTGTCACTAAATTGCCTACTCCATTCAGCAGCGGTGTCGTCTTTGTTCAGCTTTTTACAACCAATGTAGCATGAGAAGCTATTTTGTCCTTATTGTCCCTTGCAACTGTCAATTCTAGGTGAGCTTTGGCTTTCTAATAGCATCCTACATGCCTGGCAATGCTTCTAAATGCGTCTGTTTAGCGTATCCCTATTTCCATCTGCAGTATACTGCCCTTTTGTATTGGAGCTCTGTCAGCAGTTTTCAAACTCACCTCTTGATACATCCACTTGTTTTCCTGAATATGGACCGTTCGCACGCTTGGAGGAGGTAGCCCTTGAAGACCTGCCAGCTTTCCAGCTCTCATTTACCCTTCAGAGCTGCCTCCCATGGGACCCACCTACTAGTTTCACCGAACAAGCTGAAGTCTGCTGAAGTCCAGGGTCTGTGCTACTCTTCTTCCTCATACCCCTCAGGATGTGGAACCCCACTATTTCATGGTCACTGTAGCCATGGCTGCCATCAGTCACAACCCCAAACCGTTCTTCCTTGTTAGTGAATAACAGATGCAGCTATGCCTCACCTCTGATAGGACAATCCAGCATCAGGAAGTTGTCTCTGATACCATCCAGAAATCTTCTTGATCGCTTATGTCCCGCTGAGATGCCCTTCTAGCAGATGTCAGAAGGATTGAAATCCCCCATAAGAACCAGAGTCTGTGACCCAGAGATGATGTACTCTAAGTAAGTCCTTTTCAATGTACTCCATGTGGAGTGGAAGGTACTATGTGGGCAATGTGAACATGCGTATGGACAATTACTTGATAGAAAAGAAAGGGGCTGTTTGTTTGTTTTTTTGCCAAATACAATTTCTTAATTCCTCTTACTTTTCTTACTTCCTTTATAACTTGTAGTCTGACTAGAAATTTAAGGTTGAAGGTTTGAGAGAAACTGTCTGTGTGCAGAAGTGCAGAAGTAGCATAAGCGAGAGAAACTGTCTGTGTGCAGAAGTAGCATAAGCGAGTCCTTAAAAAATTCCTTTAAAAAAAAATCCTTACCTTAAACTCTAGCTGTTATATCTGGAAGTGAACATAGAGATAGCACTTCTCAAAGAACTCAGTTTTCGGCTAGTACCCTTCTTCTTTGTAGTCACTTTACTTGACTGAATTTAAATATGTCTTTGAAAAAGAACATACCTATTTTTATCACTATTTTGGTGCCAATCAGTGGAATGACTGAGCAG